TGCTTAATACAAAGTGAGGAAAAATGAAAATTAAGTCCTACTAAGTGCTTTGAAGATTCTTATGGAGAAATTTTCAAAAAATGTCTGTGGATCTGCGACCTGGACAATAACACACTTCCTGGGTAACTCGGATGAGCAGAATCCGAATCCGTTATCAGTTTGACGCTGAGACCCACGGCAGATAACACGCAACCCATTTTCTGCCTTCAATTCGGCCCCACAACACTTCTCATCCATCAGGAGGGAGGTCATAGGAGTTATGACCCCTCCCCTGGGCAAATCCAGTTTGACCACTAATATTTAGGACAAACGGGTAAAAAATCACCAGACTTGGTGAAAAATCACCGCACCTGTCAGGTGTTGACAACCCTGATCAATTTGTAACCGCATCGATGATAGCGTGGAACCTGACTTTGTTTAGTATCTGGGCAACCAAACCTGACAGACCTACTAACTTACAAGACTTCAACCAAGAGCAAAGGTCCTACGGACCGCTCTGACAGACAATGATGAATAGAATAGCAAAAGATAGCGTAGAAATAAGAGGTTAATGCATAAAATAGTGATTCTGCATGTTTCGTCTTGGTAGCACACTGCATGTCCGTTAGTGCATTATTGGAAATTACAGTATATTCAGATAAGAGATAGACCGGATGTAAACAAAAGGTTCGGGTGATTTTCACGCTAACGCCGCCGTCTCGACGTAAAACATGAGCCCTCATTGGTCAATTCGCAATTAAATGCCTATGCCGAGCGGCAGAGCAGTCGTATCAAGGCAGAGTCACATTCAGGTTCAGACGTGTTACGTATGTCGTGTGCATCATTGCAATTTGATATTTCTTTGGATGTTTTCGTTTGTTATCTTATTAAGTTGTTGAGTTTGTCGTTGTTATTGTTATACCTTGTTATTGATTGTTATTGTCATCAACTGCTTGCGCAAAATGCCCAGTAGTACAGATACTGCCGATGAAGTTGTAAACTCCTGTAGTCCACCTAGGAAACGCTCTAAAAAAAGACACCTGAGTGCAGAAATGAAAGAGGTCATTTTGAATATATATAAGATCGAGCGCGAGGAGAACGAGGCATCAACCATCAAAGAAATTGTTGTGAAGGTTTCTCACAAAGTTGGGGTGTGTCGCGCATCAGTGTTTAATGTGTTAAGACAATACAAAAAAAATCACACCTTTTCTGAACCAATGACCAGTAAACATCGCAAAAGTATTGTTAAATCATTGGATGAAGCTGATAAGCATGCGATTAGGAGGAAAGTGCACGAATTCTTCTTTAGGAATGAAATACCTACTATAGATAAAGTAGGTACTGCAGGAGGTAAATGGAGATACAACGTTGCCAAATTTCAAACGATCAACTTTCCATGCGTTACTGAAGCATTTAAATTTCAAATGGAAAAAACGGGGTCGTAATAGTTTACTACTGGATAGAGAAGAAATTGTGCTATGGAGGAGTGATTATTTAACAAAAATTGGGAAATATAGAAATCAAAACAGGAAGATTTATTACCTTGATGAAACATGGGTAAACGCAGGACACACTACAAGTAAAGTATGGGTTGATGATTCTGTAACTCCATCCAGGAGGGCCTTTCTAGATGGACTGTCCACCGGATTAAAAAATCCAGCAAGTAAATACGAGTAATAGACAACAATCGGATGTTTTTCAAACCTTGGGAACAAGGTTCTAAACATTAATTCCAGGGGACAGATAAAACATATTACAAGTAACAAAACTTTTATAACTTTCGATAAAATGCGTGGATGTTTTATTGTCATTTTCATTTGTTAGAACTTTTTTAAGCCATGTTTTTATGTGTTTTCGATATTTCAATAATTTTTTAATATAATCTTAAAATATGTCGAATATTATAAACTTAAAAAAAGTTACTAAGTTTTATATTGTGTACCGTTCCTAGTATTTCTAATCATTTTAATTCATACTTTAAGCTTTATAAAGTTATAATTTGTTAATATTAATATTTGCGCGTATTTCAGGTTCCTGATCATTCATTTTTTAAAGGTTTATAACTTTAAATTAAATTGTGAAGCGCTGAGTAATCATACGACGTTCAATATTCTTTCTTTCAATATGACTAAATAATCCCAATTATAGCAATCTGATACTCATGTCTCAATGTTTTTTCGCTGAATGTGATGAAAACATTTGAAAAAGGTTCGCTTGTTGAAATAAATCTACACCAGTTAGTACTTCGATTTCCAGGTAAAGGGAAAAGGCTCATTATCTGCCATATTGGCAGTGAGGATGGATTTGTTGTTGACGGTCTGTAGTGCTTTGAGTCTAAGAAAACTGGAGATTACCACGAGGAAATGAATGGCGAATCGTTTGAACAGTGGTTTTCAAAAATTTTACCGAACTTAGAGGAAAACGCAGTAATTGTGTTGGATAATGCGCCTTATCATTCTCGAAGAATGGAGAAGGTCCCAACAACGGCTTCAAGGAAAGTTGATGTTCAAAATTGGCTCCGCTCGAAAAATATCAACTTTGAAGAAGCAATGCTGAAAGTACAATTATTAAGAATTGTCAAGGATCACAAGGCGGAATATCAAAAATACGCCATTGACGAAATGGCAGCAAGTCAAAATAAAACTGTGCTCCGTTTACCTCCATACCATTGCGAGCTCAATCCTATTGAGCTCATATGGGCAGAGGTTAAAAATTATATAGCTAAGCACAATACAACTTTTAAATTTTGTGACCTCAAAGGACTTTTCAAAGAAGCACTAGAATTAATAACAGCGCAAAAATGGGAAAACTGTATTAAGCACGTGAAAGACAAAGTTGAAAAGAGAATGTGGGAACTGGACAATATTTTAGAGGAACAAGTCGAGCCATTCATTATTGACGTTGGTGCTTCAGGCAGTAGCGATGATGAAAGCTCATCAAGCTCATCTTTCCAATAAAAGATGTCGTTCATCAAATTCGGTAAGTTATAAGTAATTATAAGGCTACTGTATTTTTTAATTAATTATTGACATTTTTGAACCCATTTTGGCAAAACCTATTCAAGAATCTGCTTTCTGACAATGTTCAACCATGCACATTTTTTTACGTTTTGAACGTTTTAATTTGGTTACATATTTACCTAGAAATCAAAAAATATACTAATCAATATTCTAAAAGCAATTTTAAGAGATATACGATTATTTTTAATTTAGGCTAATTTAAACGCCATTTTCAGATTATATTCGACTGTATTTCACCAAACATCAGGCGGCATCCGAAGCTGGAAATCGAAGCGAAAATTTTGAAACCCTTATGTATATTTACATCATTTTATATTTCTGACCCCACCCCCACATGATCCTATATCCATCACCAATCGTATACACATCGAATTGTGCTAATTTACTACAAAGTTACGCAAAGCAGCATCTACTATCTAAAACATGTACTGCGTGACTCTTAATACGTCCCTGCCGAATGTTACAGCGTTCGATGATCACGTGGTCTTGTTTATGTCCGGTCTATCTCTTATCTGAATATACTGTAAGCATCAGGTGTTCTGTAGTTGGTTGAAAATTCAGACATTAGGATAGGAATATAAGACCTTTTCGCGCGTGCCTTTTACGCTGAAAGAATTTGATAAAAGTTCTTTTGACGGAGAAATTAGAAGAAAGCGGTTTCATTTGATTGGAACGAGATGGTAAGTTGTAAGCATCATAGTTATCTAACCATAAGAGTTAAACATAAGCATATATAGTTGTAGTCACCGTTCTTGGCGGTTACACGTCATCAACGCCTCATGAAATAAGTAACCGCACCATGGGCGGAACACTGCGCAGACTAATCTTCAGCTCATCTGCTACTCTCTCCAATACGTGGCTAACAGGGAATCGCTGTTTTCATGCTCGAGCTGTCGGCCTTCTCCATTGATCGCATTGTCGGGCATTGTAGAATGTTATATGATTGAAGGGCACTCATACGTAACGACAAAGTTTTCGAGACGGAGACACACAACTAAAAAACGTGTGTCTTTGAGCTTACCGAACAAACGTTCACACACAGGGGTAAGTTGCACGTATGAGGGAGATAGAGATATATAAAGGGATACTAGTAGTCCTCCTTTGATCCGCCAAGAACGGTGACTACGACTATATACTACTTCATATTTTTGACACTGTTTATGAGTAACTTAGCATGACGGTTTTGTCTTGGTTTAGTCGTGTTGCCCAAACATGGGGCAAGAATTCAGTGGGTGACTCTTGGGACTATTCGGAAACTATTATACTTGATTCTCTCGATATGCGAAACAACTCTTAATTCCCGAGAAACAGGCCCCTAAAGGGGACGTCGTGAAATAGGTTTCTCTTAAATAATTTGCACATATAACTCAAAAAATGGCGCCATCAAGATATGCGTACCATTTGATAGAACTGTGTTAGAACTTAGGCGACAATATGATCCTACCAAAACGAATTACTCATTTAGTTCGCCAGAGACGGACGTAATATATTGCTAATTTTCCATATAATAGCCTAAAAATAATATTTTTGGGAATTGGAACGTGCCTCGATAGTGTTGAATCTACATCCATCTACATCAATTTAATGCTACCTGCGGTTGTTTCAAGAAATTTCACATTTATCAACCGTTTTTAAGAAAAAACATCCCTCGCTAATGACGCTAATAACGTGAGAACCAGTATTCGAAAATGGTTCCATAATGTATAGAACTGCACCAAAATAGTATGACTGTTTAACTCCAAAGCCCCAGAACAGTTTATTTTTTCTAAATCTCCTCTAGGCAGAATTTTAAGTTTCTTACGAGAAAATTTTCAAAAACGTTTGCATCTGCGATCTGGACGTGAGTGCGTAGATTCTAAATCCACGGAGTGGTTCAAGCAATCCATTGTCTACTTTAAATTCGGACCCACGACCATTTACAATTTACTCAGCTACTAGGCAGAAAACTATAATCTTCTGAGCCGCTAATGTTCACGGCAGCCATCATAATAAAACAAATGGTTATAACGATCAAAAATAGTATTTATTCATGTCATATACAACAGCTTAATAATTGTAAAAACTACAAATCTGCAACTTGAATTATAAAGCACTGAAAATATCCAGTTAGAAGAGGTTCCTACAGATGGGACATGAACTCTTGCAACTTGTCCGGAACCATTTGTACTGCAAAAAAAACAACAAAAAGTAACAACACTTATCCTTCGAGTAACTATGTTTAGATGAAGCATCATCATAAAGTCAGGATACCTTTGTTCTATTGTAATAAGGGCCTAGCAGTGTACAGGTATATCACGAATGTGAATGTCTAGAAAATTGAAAAGTTTTTTGATAATTTAAAGGTTAGGAAATATACATTCTAGCAACACCTGAAAGTTATCCTGTGTTTTCCTTGCTGATAATCCTCCGGGTTTATCTGGCGGCTAAATTAAACCACATATGCTTGAAATACTGTTTACTGACAACGACCACAGAGTTTACTTTTTTCAAATGCAATAGGAAGGTTCGCCATTTTTTGATTTTCACTCAAATCGAGAGATTTTGTTATTAAAATATGATAAAAAAAAATTTAGCAAAAATATGAATATTTACGTCGACTAAAAGGATCGGCGCGAGGCTGGAAAACGTACCTGTGCGCGAGACTAGACCGCGTGACGTCAGTAGCCAGACATACCTCGCCCCAGTAATCAGTTGAGTGGTTAGAGCTAGTACGATAGATTATTGTTAATTATATTACCCGTCTCTTCCTCTAGATCACTATGTAGTTCACTCTCGCCGCTAGGTGGCGCCACGCATTCCAAAGCTAAATAAAATAACATCTGACCGGTCCTACCCTCGCGTACCACCGAACGCTGTTGATGGTTCATTACTCTTTTGCGTGCGAGTGGAGCCACGTCGCCCGTAACGTGACGGGTTCGGAAAATGAGTAGAAATGTGCGAAAACGGGCTCAGGCCCTGTCTGATGTAGATTCGGATTCCTCTGATGAGCTGTCCGGAATCATGACCCAGTTGAACAAGCTGTCTCGTAAGGTATCCCGACTTCAGAAGAAGCGCAAAAGACGAGAGCCGTCACCCGAAAGCTCGGATAGTAGTGTTGGTGAAAGAAGCCTCTCCCAAATCATTCGGCCTGCCACCGTAGGCCTGGTAAACTACGATACCTCTTCATCGGGACGTAAGTATCCTATGGATGCATAATATAATTGTGTATAAAACAAAAACAATATGGCTACCAACGAGTTTTGGTTACACACGTCTGTCTAAGCAAGGGTACCCTTGTTATACCCAAATTGGGTATTACCGACGAGTTTCGGTATAATCCTGTGGTCAACGAGTTTTGACAAACACACGATTATTACATTGCCAACGAGTTTTGGAAATGTAGGGCATCACAATTCTCCTATCTTGTCAACGAGTTTTGACAAATTCAAGTTTTTTTTTTTTTTTTTTTACAATGCCAACGAGTTTTGGCCACATGTAAGGTAGTTTATGATGTCGTCAACGAGTTTTGATAAGCGCAAGACCAACGAGTTTTGGCAAATAAATACAAGGCGTCGCCTTTATCTTCATATATTGTCAACGAGTCTTGGCGATTTCTAAAGGCAGGTACAGTTGTATCATAATTTCTTCCATTTTTGCAGCAGAGAATAACCTTGCCGAGCGCAATGTTGCCATATCAGACGGAACCTTGGAGAGGAACAATGTTGCCGAGTGCGATGTTGCCGAACGCAGTGTTGCCGAACGCAGTGTTGCTGAATGCAGTGTTGCCGAACGCAGTGTTGCCATCTCGGATGAAATTTTGAGACTTTTAGGGAAAAACCCTGTGGACGATCAAGCCTCTACAAAAGACATTAACAGCGAACTTGTTCAAATTTGGTCCCATATATTACAGGAAGGTTTGGATTCTGAGGTTTTAGCAACTATATGTAAAAAATATTCTCCTCCCACTAACTTAAGCCTTGCTAATGCCCCCAAACTGAACTCAGAGGTTTTATCGGTTCTCACGGAACAACACAAGCAGCGGGACTTGAAGCTCTCTAAGCGCCAAGACCAGATGGGGGCTGCCCTGGTGGCAATTGGCAAAGCGCTGACAATTCTGTTGGAAAAAGGGTAGGGGGCACATACCAGAGTGCTGGTTGAATGCCTCAGTGATGCCGGACGTTTAATTTCGGACATTAACCATGAAGAATCTACGCGTAGGCGGAATTTGGTATCGGTGAGTGTAGACAGCTCCAAGGAACCCTTTCTAACGTATCTGTGGATGGTTGGCTGTTTGGACAAAATCTGGGTGATCGGGTGAAAGCAGCTCGTGAAATGGAAAAATTGTCATCCAACCTAAAGCCTAAAGCAGTTACTGCTACACTGACGTCTTCGGTAAACTTCAAGGGTCTGCCTCGAGTGAATGTCAAGGGTTATCGAGTCAGACCGAAATACTCACGGAAAACCCCGAGTTTCGAAGCCAAGACTCCTCGGAAAGCCCCCCGATCAACGAAAGAAATTCGTCCAGCATACAGAACCAATCAAACCCAAGCCTATCAAAAGCGGACCCTTTAAAGGTAATTTATATAAGTGGAAGACTAAAATTCTTTTTACCAGCTTGGAATTCGTTAACGTCGGATAATCTTCTGTTATCATGGGTTAAAGGTTATCTAATACCTTTCTCTCAGACACCTGTTCAGAAATCTGTTCCTAAGGAATTGAAATGGTCTTCAACAGAACAGAGATTTTTAAATTTAGAAATCGAGCGTTTGTTATCCCTGGGCGCTATAAGAAAATGTTCTTTCGAGCACGGCCAATTTCTTTCAAATATTTTTCTCACACCCAAACAGGATGGCCCGTTTAGATTTATTTTAAATCTAAAAGACCTGAACAAGTTTATTACGACAGAACATTTCAAAATGGAGGACCATAAAACGGTAACAAGATTATTGGACAAAAACATGTTTCTTGCATCCATAGATCTCAAAGATGCGTATCACTTGATTTCTATTCATAAACATCATCGGAAATATGTCAGGTTTGTGTTTTCCGGACAAATGTATGAATATACTTGTTTACCTTTCGGTCTAAATACAGCGCCGTATGTGTTTACGAAACTGTTGAAACCAGTTCTATCCCATTTACGACAACAAGGTTTTTTGTCAGTATTATATATTGATGATTTTCTATTAATAGGTCGTAGTTATGCTGAGTGTGTGACAAATGTTAACACAACTAAGAAAGTGTTGTTAGATTTAGGTTTTTTGATTAATTTAGAGAAGAGTGTACTTGTGCCATGCACAGAAATTAGGTATTTGGGGTTTCTATATAATACAATAGATATGTCCTTAAGCCTACCTATAGACAAACAAAACAGTATTTCAGAACATATGCGCAGGTTCGTGAATAAAACAACCTTCCCTATCCGGGAGTTTGCGATATTGATTGGTAAATTGATTGCAGCATGTCCGGCAATCAAGTATGGGTGGCTGTACACCAAGAATTGTGAACGCGAAAAATGTTTGGCCTTGAGAAGGTCCAGAGGGTCTTACAATCACAAGATGAGAATGTCTACAGAGATTCTAATGGATCTTAGCTGGTGGAAAAGTCATCTTTCGGGCAAAAATACTTTTCACAGTTTCAACTTCAAATTGGAAATATTCAGTGATAGTTCTCGATCGGGATGGGGGATACACTGTAATGGTTGTAAGTCGCACGGTTTTTGGTCCAACGAAGATAAGAAGCAACATATAAACTATTTAGAGTTATTGGCTGCATTCTTTGGACTTAAATGCTTTGCAGCAGATCTTGTAAATTGCGAAATACTTTTACGAATAGATAACACTACAGCCATTTCATATGTGAACAGAATGGGTGGTATTCAGTTCCCACATCTTAACAGCCTTGCTAAGCAAATTTGGCAGTGGTGTGAAGAGCGCAATTTATTTATTTTCGCGTCTTATATAAAATCGCAAGGTAACATTATAGCCGATCAGGAATCGCGTCAACTAAATACTGAAACAGAGTTTTCAATAGCGGATTATGCGTTTAAACAAATTTGTCGTGACTTAGGAACACCCGAGATCGATTTATTTGCTTCCAGAGTAAATTCAAAATGTAAGCGATTTGCTTCTTGGTTCAAAGACCCTGAAGCCGAAATTGTCGACGCGTTTACAACTTGCTGGACTAATTACAAATTTTATGCATTCCCGCCTTTTTCCCTAGTGGCTAAAGTGCTACAGAAAATAATTACAGACAAAACGGAGGGTATTGTCGTAGTACCGTGTTGGCCCAGTCAACCATGGTACCCTCTATTCAAATCACTGCTTGTAAAGAAATCAATAGTTTTCTCTCCTAACATACATTTATTGTTATCCATTGACAGAACACCCCATGCGCTACACCGGAAACTTTCCCTGGAAGCAGCGCTATTATCAGGCAGGCAATGATAAATAATGGAATCCCTGAGGAGGCAGTGGAGATATCAGTTTCATCTTTAGCACAGTCATCACTGAAGCAATACACCAACGGATTGAAACTATGGTGGGAATTCTGTCACCAACGTAACATAAACTGTTTTGAACTAAATAGCCAGGCTATACTATGTTTCTTGTCGCGCTTGTATGGCCAAGGCCGATCATATAGTTCGTTGAATACAACAAGATCGGCTTTATCCTTGCTTATTTCACCTCGAGTTGGCGAAGACCACCAGATCAAAAGATTTTTCAAAGGCGTTTTCAAATTACGACCACCTTTGCCTAAATATCATGTAACGTGGGATCCGGCTGTGGTTTTAGGTTATCTGGAAACATGTTACCCTAATAATACAATTAGTCTAGAGGCGTTGACACATAAATTATCGATGTTGATGGCCCTGGTTACGGCACACAGAGTACAAACATTATCAGTTATAGAGGTACCAAATATCGAAATATCGGAATCAAAAATAGAAATAAAAGTCTCGGCAAGGGTTAAAACCTCTGCCCCAAATAGATACCAACCTTTACTGATACTACCATTTTTTCACAATAACCCAAAACTATGTGTAGCAAGTACGCTCAAATGTTATTTGAACAGAACCAGAGATTTCAGGCAGTCTGGTAAGCTCTCGAAACTTTTTCTGACTCATAAGAAACCTTATAAGGAAGCAACGGCACAGTCCATTAGTCGTTGGATTCGCATAGTGCTGGACAAAAGTGGAATTGACACATCGATCTTTACAGCACATAGTACTAGACACGCGTCCACGTCAGCAGCTGTCAACAGGGGTATCAACATCGATACAATACGCAATACAGCAGGTTGGACTTCGTCATCAAATGTGTTTGCAAGATTTTATAACAGACCTGTAAAAAATACTGACAATTTTGCAGACGCAATTCTCAGACTATAGTGAATAGTTTACAGTTGTAACAGTTAGAATAAGTTTTCGCACATGGATGGTTGTCTCTCATAAGAATGTTGGAGATTAAAGAGAGTAGTTACTACTTCCCTCTTACTTTTATTCTCCTGTAACTGTTGCAGAATCAACTTTAAACATCTACATAGTGATCTAGAGGAAGAGACGGGTAATATAATTATAAGATTAAACGAACTTACCTAAGTGAAGTTTGATCGTAATTATATGACCGTCTCTTCCGAATAGATCACTCCCTCCCTCCCAGAACCCGTGATCTATTCTAACGCAACAGTTACTGCTTTGAAATAATGAATCATCAACAGCGTTCGGTGGTACGCGAGGGTAGGACCGGTCAGATGTTATTTTATTTAGCTTTGGAATGCGTGGCGCCACCTAGCGGCGAGAGTGAACTACATAGTGATCTATTCGGAAGAGACGGTCATATAATTACGATCAAACTTCACTTAGGTAAGTTCGTTTAATCTTATAATTTTTGTGAACTTTAACGGTGTTAAATGTCGAACGGAAAGTGGTGTTTTGCGCCAAAATGTACAAGTACGTCAAGTACAACACCACAAAAAATCTTTGTGAGTGTTCCAAAAGCTGCCGCGCAACGTAAACAGTGGTTTGACGCAGCTCGACGGGATGTAAAATCAGTTTCTTCCACGTCGACTATGTACTGCTGCGAAGATCATTTTGACCTGGGAAAGTACCGTTCTAGCCCGGATGAAGCCTAATACTGCACCTCATAAATTTGCATGTCAACTGGGTAGACAATTAAGCTCTACGAAACGAGTGTTCAGCGAAAAAAGGGCAAGGCAGAAAGACATCGCCAAATATTTGCAGCCAGCGGCGGACGCCGGGCGGGACCAACAACCTAAAAGTCCGAGACTGAAGGGGTGGGCATTATTGAGGAGGAGCATGATGAACAATAACAGAAACATCCGAGTCTGATTCGTATGAAGCCAGTGGAAGTAGTACTGAAAGTAGTGACTGCGAAGCTGACCAGCTTACTGCCGAGATCGTAATCATTCTAAGCGCAATATTAGTCAACGTTTAGAACCTGGCTTCATTGCCCACATCCCTCGAATGCAGCCCTAAACTTTGTTATTTTAGTCGCTATAAAATTCTATAATGTGACTGACCCCCCCCCTTAATTTAAGCATTCCCCAATAATAGACCCTAAAAAAAGATTCTCTCTACATCCCTGGAATGTCTCTGATTGAAAAGATATTAGGTACCATACTTTACTTCAGAATAGTGTAATAAAGCCTCATTATGCATGCAAAAAGAAACAATTTCGGGGCTCTTAATAGGCATAACAAGGTAAAAAAGTATGTATGATAATTTAAATTCCATAATATTTTACCTAGGAAGAAAATAGCAGAGATAAAGAGCCTTCAAAATTATTGTCATGAGCAAGCATTATTATATCTTAATATTATTAGCTTTCAATAGACTAAGGCCCGTATCGTCAGTCATCCCTACAATTGTAGGGTGCCTTTATGGCCTCCTTGATTGTCATAGTTTTCTACTTCTCCGTGACAGAACTCTATTTTGAGGTTATGTCACAAACATCTATTTGCATCAAATTGTGCTTGCTTTTGAGTTATATCATGTTTTATCAGCCTGAAATTTCCTACAATTTAAAAAGAAAACATATCTTCACAATAGGAGAGCGCTGACGCTGACACGGGACAAGTGTAATCTAGAAATTTTTGAAGGAGAGAAAGGAGTATGACAATCAAGGAGGCCATAAACGCGCCCTACAATTGTAGGGATGACTGACGATACGGGCCTAAAGCAAAGCAGGATTAATTTTTACGGATAAATACAACAAAATACTACCCATTGGAGCTACACAAAAAAATTAGCTTCATATAGGTACTTACCAAACTCGCTGCTCTGAGGTTCATTTGAATTTGCATTATTTGCCAAAAACTCGTACACCATTTCCACATTCACATGGGGTAAATTTCGCAAATCAGCTTTCTGATAACCTTGGAGCATTGTGCTAGCACAAATAAATAAAGTACACAAACGTCGGTCCCAGTTTATATAAACTCGTATTCATATACTCTTCACTCCGTATACGACAATACAAGATGCAAGTACTCTATGAGGGCGACAGCAGGTGTCTGACTACTGACGTCACGCGGTCTAGTCTCGAGTACAGGTTCGTTTTCTAGCCTCTCGTCGATCCTTGATTTTAAAATGCTTTCCGTCGACGTAAATATTAATATTTTGCACTCAAATTTCTTTGGCCGTTTTTTAATAACAAAATTCCTCGATTTTAATTAAAATAAGAGAAATACGAAAAATGTCGAACCTTCCTATTGTACAATTGCCATCGTCAGTAAACAGTATTTCAAGCATATGTGGTTTCATTTGGCGGATAGAAAACATGACTCACCAAACAAGCAGAATGAAACTTCTTCTTGCATGTCTGACAAGACAGTTTTGGCATCTGGTATGTTCCACGATGCAATACTGCATAACAAATATAACACTCCTCGACACCCTCGAACTTTTTGTCTAAGTTATTGTTCCATAAAGACAGACCATCCCATATCCTTCCATTCTGAAATCGAAAACAAAAGTTTGCTGAAAAACGTCATAACACAGTCTGAAAAAAAAATCATATTGCATAAAAGCTGCTTATATGGTACATCAAACTTAAAAATTTCACAATACGTTAAAATCATAATTTAGAAAATCATCAATGTTTTTTTGTTGTTGTTGAAGATTTATTTAGCATTAATGCTAAAATGTCAACTTTGTATATTGATTCGGTTACATATTTTTCTTCAATCCATTTTCTGTAATTTTACATTTTGGCCTATTAAAATTAAAATTACGTCACTATGTAGTTTGATTATTCATAAAGTGATTTTTTAATTTCAACTTAAACATTTTTAAATTCGAACTTTGTTTAATATCATCATTCAATTTATTAAATTGAAATATTCCCTTTTGAAATATACATTTACTAGTTATGCTACTATTACAATTTTGCAGATGAAAATCTATACTGCCTCTAATTTCGTAGTTATGATAATGACTATTTAATTTTGCGAAGTTCTCTAAATGTGGTGGTAATAAATGATTTTTTTTAATTTGAATATTAAAACGAGAACTAAATAATATATGAAATTTTTCACATCCACTGTAGTTCTTCTAACATGGACTTAATCCTAGTATATTTGCTTTCATTTAAAATGATTCTCATAGCTTTATTTTGTACAATTTGTAATTTTGAAAACACATTTTCATTTGCTGTAAACAAGATGGTTGAACAATATAAAAAATTGGGAAGAATTATAGTGTTATACACAATTTTTTTGGAATACATACTAAGATTATGGGAAACTCTATAGAAGTAATTTATCTTTTTCGATATTCTTGAAATAATGTATTCATAATGTTCGTGAAACGGTAGCTTACTATCCACATATACAGGGTGTCCGCAAAGTTGGGGTTTTCCTTTACACGACGTGTAGATCTTGAAAACATAAGCAATTTTTCTTAGTACCATATACACCAATGTCTTAAGGGAACCGAGATAAAGGGCTCTGCAACATCAAAAATATCTGAATTCCGTCCTGTAGCCGCGACATCACCGACTGGTACAAGGTCAGTGGCTCAACCCGACGACAGAACTGGGTCGGGGTCAGTGTGTCAGGTCAGTATGCAACCTTCAACCGACGGTTACGGTCACGCGTGTAGAAGTAATCGCGTAGACGAGAATCCCTCAACAAGCACTAGAGACGTGGCTAGAGAAGTGCAAGTATCAAAAACTAAAGTGTGGCAAACGCTGCGTGAAGAGGGGCTGTATCCGTTTCACGTCCAACGTGTACAAGCCCTTCAACCTGACGATTTTCCAGCAAGAGTGCGTTTTGTGAGTGGTTGTTGCATCAACATGACAATAATCCGGACTTTTTGAAGTGCATATTGGTGACAGACGAATCTACGTTCACGCGTAATGGGGTGAATAACTTTCGCAACACTCATGTTTGGTCAGTAGAAAACCCGCACGCTGTCCGTCGGGCACATTTTCAACAAACAGTTTCGGTGAATGTTTGGGCTGGCATGGTGAACGGTATGCTCATTGGACCATTTATTCTCCCAAATCGATTGGACGGGATGCAATACCTAGACTTTTTACGCAACATTTTGCCTTCCTTGTTAGAAGATGTGCCATTAAGTGTAAGACAATCAATGTGGTTTCTGCGTCTGCTCGGTAGCGCATCAGCTGATTTCATTTTCTGTTGGAGCGGTATGATTTCGGGCAGAGACGTACTTAGCCCTTCTCGTCAACTGGAGAGCGAGTACTTTTTCCTTTATTTTTTTTACTTGGTCGCCCTCGTTTCACTACACATTACCTTTGTTATTTCAAGGGTAGTTGTTTCTGAAAAGGAAAACCCCAACTTTGCGGACACCCTATATACCAAGATATTTAAATGATTCGACTACTTCAATTTAATCATAAGCCTAATTGTATTGTCACCTAAATGGATATACATTTTGTTTTATTAGTGTTTAATTTAAGTTTATTGACATTTAACCAATTCATAAGTTTTTTAATATCACTATTTAACAGTTCTAAAGCAGTGTCCAAATGTTTATATATATATATATATATATATATATATATATATATATATATATATAAGCTGTATATATATATATATACAGCTGTATATATATATACAAGTGTATCGTTCGCAAATATTTGAATTTTGCAGTGTTCTAAAATGTCAGAGATATTTATGTAAATAATAAATAGTAACACTAACTACTGATATATTTTGAACACTTGACATAATATTTCCAACTTTAGTTTTTTGACTTCTATTTACTAGATATTTTTGTAAAATGTGTAATACTGATCCTTTAAAGCCATAGTGAAGCAATTTCATTAACAATTTTTCCCTATCGATATTCTCAAATGCCCTTTTGAAGTCTAAAAATATTGTTACAATATATTCTTTCTCATCTATACTTCTTCTCCAGTCTTCCACCACCATTTGGATTGCCGTTTCTGTTAAACATTTTTTCCTAAATCCAGCTTGATTTTTTATCAAAATTTTAGTTTCTTCAATGAATTCTATGATTTGTTCGTATATTATCCCTTCGAACAGCTTCTCGACATCGGGCAAGACACTAATCGGTCGCATATTTGTATGACAGCTGAGAATTTTGAAATTTTTGCACAGGAATAATGATGGAACACTTTAATTTTGATGGGAATTCACCATGTACTAAACAATGATTCACCAATAATAATAATTTCTCTCCAATTATATTGAAACAATCATTTAGAATATTTTTTGAGAGATTCTCACTTGGATTGTTATTAGATTTCAATTTTGAGATAGCTTTTCTTAAGATTGTTGATGTTAATTGTCCTAAATTGTTTCATTGATGAATTCTGACATACTTGTAATGGACATAAAGCTTGGATAACCGTCATCAATTGTCTTCCCTATTTGATTTACACTTTCTATAAAATAAGTATTCATTCTTTCTGCTATAATTAATTTGTCTGTCACTAACTAAAATCATTTTGGATTACAAAAATACGAATCGTTAAATCATCTAAAAGCAGTGATCTTATATTCAGTGGCAATCTGTTGAATAATTAAATTGCCCAGGACCCCGGACCATCTTGGCACTTTCTCAGTCGCCAATATATAGGGAGCAAGTTTCTCTAATTTCTGGTACTATATTCATGAAACATCTTTGAAGGTTTGATGTAAATCTCATTTTGTCTTATCAAACATCAAGCACTCATACACATACAGATTTGGGACATTCATTAGCTTCTATTCAATGAAGACATGCTTGCAATCATCTCTGTATTTCTGCCCTGCCATGAATCTGCAGCCCAAACACTCTAGCTGCCTCAGCAGCATACAATCATTGCATATGCTATGTGCGACTGGAATAGTGCGAAGTAACAAATATGTATGTATACTTCTCGCATAAGTTGCGGAGGACATAAATGAGAATGAGAACGTTATATGAATATAACATCAATGTGGCTTTTCCATTGGAGCTTTGGGTCAAGTGTCACACCTACAAATTTATTTTGATCTTCATTTTGGATATTTATTTATCTGTTGGAACATAACCAGACTCCCATCATTTGGGAGATCACTAATATAGATGAGAAAGAGTATAGAGCCTAGGAAAGAACCTTGTGGAACTCCTACCAATATCTTCCCCTTTGCAAATCGATATCATAATCTGAAAACAACTGGGAAATCTATAACCATTGATTAACGTATTCTCCAACAAGATTCCCAACCGAATGACGTATTTAGACGTTCATTAACAATTTCCATCACACCGCCATGTTGCCAAGTAGGAAATAATAAAAACAGACTCCATTTTTCTTTGAACGAAATATGTTTTTTCTTAAACATGACATCAAATTTCAGGAAACATAAGTTCACCTCCCTCGTAACTATTCCTTAGGCTTCAAGTCCTCAGAATTTCTCAACGACAGAAAAGAAAACCCATAATCTTCTGGTGGAACATGTTAGCAATGGAGAAGTTTCGTGATGTTCAGAATCGCATAAGAAATGACATACCAGCAAAATATAGAGGAAATATCATCAACCAGTGAAAAAGTCATTGAAATCTGTCAATAAATGTCAGAGACATTAATACTTAAATATGGCGCATTACAGCGCGAAATCATTTCTGCCATCAGCTCGCGTCTGACGTCACACTTCACTGCTGCTGAGCGTCACGTCCGTGCCCGACATTAGTCTATAGACAATTCATAACACAAACCTGTGCGCTCTGTCACGTGGTTTCCAGTTGATAACTATTGATTACTGCTTAAGTTCGTACCATTATGGAAGACGGATTTGTAAAAGGGTTAAGTGACAATTTGCCCAAAATTGACATTTATGCAGTTAATTTATTTCTTCAAATCCATCATGTACAAGCGCGGAAATAAGACTTGTGAAACTTTGGAAGAAAGTATTTATGCCTACTGCTACACTATCACAACTAGTTGTAAAATGTTCGATACCCTACTGAGGGTTCAAACAAATTAGTGTTGATGAGTACAGATTTGGGAATATGACATGATATTTTTCAGGAGAGGTAGAGATTATTATCGTGAATATGCTATTGGTTATGTTCAGTTGAAACGTGAAGGTACTAACTGCATTGTAAACTGCATAGTTTCACCTGAACATAAAGTGAAAACTAGGAATTACCACTGCACATTGGTCTGTGACGAAAGTGAGGAAATAATTTGAAACTGTTGTGTGTCATATGTTGTACTTTTTGGTCCAATCAAATCACGCTTCATCAGTTTGCACCATTTCTTCCTGATATTTTCATGGTAGAAAAAATGTTTATTAGGGGTTATAATTGTTGTGCTCATACATTTTGAACTGATACAGTATTTATAACAACCTTTTTTGTTATTTCGCTCATAAGAAATCGTATATGCAGTCAACTAATTAATCAAATTGGCGCGGAAGACGTTTGGCCTATGTGTACCTATGCGTGTGTTTAGGAAATTGAGTCGGCCGCGGCCGTCGCACCTGGATAGTGAAGTCTGACGTCACGTGTTCAGACAGACTAAAAATATTCTCGCGGAGCGAAACTTTGATAGGCTGTAACTTTTTTAATTTTAGAGATAAATTAATGATTTTTTCACCATTTTGTTTCACTTTTCTTGAAATTTGATTTGACCAAATAACAAAAAAATGGTAAACTTGTCCATTGGTATAAGAAACAGAACGGTAGCTTGATCTATTTTTCCCAAATGCCAGCCAACATAAAGAGGGCTCAATTACAGTACCATATCATACCATTTATTGTGCGATTTCTGCACGTTGATCCATAACGTGAATTTGTAATTATCCTCAAAGTAGTTTTTTGTAACAGGAAAATTTTACTAGATGCTACTGAGTTTCCCCAGAGCATACTGCCATATGTAATGTGACGATGGAACATGCTCAAGTACACTACCGGCAAAGTATTGTTATCGAAGCATCTGCTAAATAATTGTGTAGACAGTCTAGAATGTCAATACTCAATGTAGTATGCCCAGTTTAGCCTAGAATCGAGTACTATTCTTACAAGTTTTACTGGTTCAGATTTTACAACCCACCTTTGTCAGAGGAAAATACGATATGATATGCCTTGTTTTTATTTAGGGATAACCTGTCGGCTACAAACCATTTTTTGGCTTGCTCCAGACTATCCTGCAGGATCTGTTATCAATACCCAAGGGCACATATGAAATGGCAGGGACCAAATACTCATCCCTACGGCACCAGTTGCAAATAGGAAAAACGTCACAGGCAATGCCCTCAGAGCTTACATACTGCTACCTAACAGGGTATTTCTCAGTAAGTTTTATTGGTGTGGTAAATGTGTACGTTAACCAGAGATCTATCTATGATTACTGATCGATTACCTGATGTTCCACGCATTTCTTGAACTGCAACAACCACTGTTTATGATTTGTACCACCAATTTGCTTGTTGCACTGCACATCTAGCCCGCCAAGTGGATAGTTAGCTGGCAAAGAAATCACTAGTTCAACTTGTACTTCATCAATCGTATAGACTGCCGTTATTTCTCTCGCAGTGGGCATCACCTTAATCTGAAAAAAAATGCAAATCAACTTACACATACATAAAATAGCAACGTAATATTTAATAGCAACACCCAAATGTCGCAGTACCACCCACTGAGAATCAAAAGCTCTAATATTTGAAAACCAAACTGACCCACAATTAAATGTCGGGAAGGCATGCAGTTTGAGTTAGTATGAAATGGGTTAAAAGTTACTCACCACCATGTTTTTGAACTGACTCTGATGCTTCATGATATCGTTCAGTTCCTGTACACATAAATGCTGCGATACATACAATGTCGTTACTCTTTCTACAACTTGAGCCACTTTTGTTTCCAAACCTGTCCACCACTGGCGCACCAAGGCTGGCAGTTGCGTCACTGCTAGTGAATAAAGCCAACATACTAGGTATTCGATTTTCTCGCCATTGCAGGTATCTACAATGGAATTATATATTGGATATTGGACATAAAGAATTGTTATTATAATAAATTACCTGTGACATGCATTTCTGGCTTTTCCAAAAAGTTATCCATGAAATATTTGGATTTTCCCTCGTTACAATGGAGTACTTCTGTAGGCATAAGCTTGAAAAGATTATTCAGGAAATTATTCAACAAATCTTCATTCCTGTTGAAGAGAAAGGTGTAAATATTCATGTGCTATCATGTTGCAATCACTGAGTTTCAAAACTATGTAGAAGTCATTTTCTTACCGCAACCATTCTGCATATTGGTATCTCAATTCTGTAGATGCTTCGCCACAAAGTGTAAGCAGAATGTCCCATATAAGCAAGTATGCAAATGTGTAAGTGAAAGCATCTGTTCCAACTTTTACATTACATACGTCTTCACCTAACCTGTAAAAAATGTAAATTTGAAACTTTCACCCTCACTAAAAAGATGTTATAGTTTATGAAATCCTTCTGCAAATGGATTATTTACAACATAACAGCCAGATTATCATTCTACTCACTAGCTATTTCTGTCAAGCATTATTTTTAAATATAATTAAATAAGTTGGAAAATCGCAAACTCAACAACCGAAAATACCTGGACTATAATGGTTTGATGGATTTTTATAGTTCAGGTAAAGTAGGTATAAAATATCTGAAAATATAATGCACCATCAAAAATACTACGACATGGAGCATCTAAAAAAGTAAAACCATCACATAGACAAAAAATATTGTCCCACCTACCCGACTATAAGAAAACATTAAAATAAATTTCTTGCGATAAACCACTATAATACATACTTAAACTCCATTAGCATGCTATTGACAATCCCATGTGTTTCCACCAGCTTCTCTTTAAACTGTTCGAAAACCAATCCTTTCTGATGAGGATTATTCAAGTTGACTGCATCAGTATCAATCTTAATCAGACCAGGCACTAATGCCAGCAGCATTTTGTATCCCCACAACTGCAAATTAGGATGCCAGTGAGCCAGCAAGAAGCAGCTTCGTCTCAAAAATTTGCTCCATTTTGGTAGAGAAGTATCACTCGTTTTGAAAATGAACTGGTGGTTTATGTTATTTATCACTTTGGAGAATTCTTGTATGAATGGAAGGTATTGCAAAAGGTTGCCGTTATTTTGCTCTAGTTGCTCTAAAAATAAGAATAATATATGAATAATGAACTGTCTACAATCATACTGCAGTTGAAGTCAAGAGGTCAAATCACTATGATATTAACCTTTTCTTGTATCAATTCAAACTGCAAAAGAAAGTAAAATATTTTACCGGCCAGATACAACCACAGCTGTGCCAAATCTCCATGAATACTTTCCACTAATACGTCATCCCATTCAGACACATAACTGCTCTTAACATTATCTTCTTTCATTCCCTTTATTTGGTTATCTGCATTTATAAAGAGTTGCACCACTTCGGAAAAAAGTGCTTGAACCTAAAACAAAAATTATGCGTTTCATCATATTTTTAAAATAATTTTCAAATGCAGAGGAATTAGCGTTTTCATCTTACCTGTATTTTCTGGTAACTGGACCTATTTTTCAAACAATTTGATGCCCACGAGACTAAAGATATCACACCGAAGTCCCAATGCCTCTGAGTCAGAGAATTGAATTTGTGTTTCATCAATGAAGCACAGAGTCTTATGGTTTCCAAAATTTGTTGGTATTTTTCCCATGACATATTGCAACTACAAGTATAAACAAACATCAATTTATCATACGATAAGGATAGTTCCAAAAAATTAACTTACTTATCACACAAAAATTGTGGCACATTTTCACTCCTGATTTCTTCAATTTTAGAGAAAACCTCAGCAATCTGCACATCAATTTCTTCACAATGCATGAGGCTGTTTAGTATGATCACCTGTTCAATTGGTTCATACTTTTTATTCTGCACATGATCATAATTCAAATGCTTAGCAAAGGTTTGCGTCAAGTGCAAAAATCCCAAATTTCTACCTGTAACATCTTTAGTGAAATCACTGTATATGTCTGTCAAAGCATCTGGATTTATTTCTGAAAATAATGTGTATACTGCATTGCACCACAACCAAGCTTCAGAGAGACACTTATCCCTCAGGACTGTTTTCAAGGCTTCTTTTAACTCTGTAGAAATGCTCTGAATCGTCGATTTTAGTTTCATTTCAGCCAAAACGTAGTAGTTCAGAATTATTTCATACTGTTTTGTCTACAAAAAAATTGATCTCAATGAGAAATTTCATTAATTTAAAATATTTCCATTTAGTTAAGGCTATGAACTTACATTATTAAATGTTTCCAGATAGCATGAGCCCAAACTAATTATATGTAAGATTTCGGCAAAAAATATTTCATTCTCATCCATTACATTATAATAACAAACTTTGCTCTTCTCATTTTCTTCTTCGTCTTCCTCGCAATCCTCGCTATCATCTGCCAAATTAGTACCAAGCACTTGTAGCTTCAAATACGTCCATGCAAAGAGTTTTGCCACATGAAGATCTTCCAAATCTTTCACCATCTCAATACCTTTCAACTCCTCATAAGGACTACTTAGTCTGCCTTTGACATACTCAGATAATGAACAGAGGCTGCTCAAAGATCGCTCCCACGTCTCAACAAAACTGCGTTTAACAAAAAGATTCGAAAAATCTGTCAACCATAAAGGCTGACTACCATAAACGGCTTTCAGGAGGTTGGCCACAACCTCCACCAAATGATTGACGTGACTTTCTTCCAAACTCCCATTTAAAAACTCCTTCTCCACTATATCCGCCAACTTTGAAACCAGAGATATGCTCTCCTCGCGTTCCAGATACTTCGCTAGCAAACTGAGGGAGTCCTGCCAAGCTGTCCTGACTTCATACAAAGTTTCTGTAGAGATGATATCCTCACTTAGAGAGGAGTTGCAAGATAGTCTGAATAATGCCAATAGTAAGTCTTCGCTGTAAGTTAATAGTAAATTTTCTGTATATATGATGGTTGAAATATATGCTGAAAGGCTAGCACATGTGTCTAAGGCAGTTTGGTGCTCTTCAGGATGCTCTAAGAACTTAGTGAGTTTCTCAATAACTTGGAGGACCGTTTCGTTTGATACATACAGCTCTGAAATAAAAATTAACATAGCATTTTCAGATTGCTTTACATCAGTGGTTCCCAAAGTGGTCCAGGTGGACTCATAGAGGGTCTACGTTGGCGTTCAAAAAAAGGGGGGGGTTCCAAGTTGAAAGTTGGGGTTTCCGAAAATTTATCTCGTTTCGATAGATAGTATGGAACAAAAATGTTGTGAAATAATATAAGAAAGTCAGCATCTATTCCTCATAAAAACTTCTATATTCAATATTCGGTACAAGTTTCCAAACTTGTTATAGTCAGAATGTCTGATGACGGAATTCAAACATACGAGGTCTGTAAATTAAGTGATGAGACGCAACGTGGTGTTCGATCTGGCAACACTGAAGGCGTCGGTCTTGGAGGGAAGACAGGGGAACACGTGATCCGCCTTCAATACTCGTTCGAGTCATTTGATTCTCCATAGCGATTTTTTTGTGTGTAACAGTGTTCTCTATTGTGTTATAATAAAGAGTGACATTGCTTTCAAGCAATGGTGTGCTATCAGGTTTTGCTTCAGACTTGAACACAATACAACGGAAAATCTTGCTAAACAGGACTACAGAGATAGTGTTTTGTCAAGAGCCAGGTATTTCGGTGGTTTAAGGCATTTTCAGATAAGAGAGTCGATTGAAGATCAACCACGAAAATATCAACAGAATCCGGGATCTTGTGCATTCAAATCGTCGATTGACACTCAGAATGATCGAAAAAGAGTTAAAATCGACTTACAGCACCATTCACCAGATCAAGAACAACAGGTGGTGCATCACGATAATTCTTCTTGTCACAAAGCAATGTCAATAAACGAGTTTTTGGCCAGTAAAAACATTCCTGTGGCTCCTCAGCATCCTTACTTGCCTGACTTGAGTCCTTGTGACTTTTGTGTCTTCCGGATGTTGAAAAATCACCTCAAGGGATTTCATTTTGGCACAGTCGAGCTGAAGGATCTTCCGGTATCTGAGTTTCATCACTGATATGAGGAGTTTAAGAACCGGCTTTTAATTCACAGACCTCGTATGTTCAAAAATGGAATGTCCTGTATGATGACTTTAAAAAGAAAGTTGACGATATTCTCACGATGGAAATACCATCATAGATCGTAAACTCATTTGATGAAATGGAAGTCGCAAATGTGGTATTACAAAACCAGATACTACAGTTTAGTACTAATGGAGGAGATGGAGGCGAAATTAAAAAAAGGCTATCAACCATTTTGGCTGCAGACAGAAATACCTGAAAAACACTCTGGCCCCAGGAAGTTGTGAGGAAATTTTTGATATCGTTTCCCCCTCATACCATTTGTTACAAATCTGTTAACAGAAAAAAGAGCAGATTGAATATTGGAAGACTGGGGAGATTCCAAACAAAACTGAACCAAATAATAGTTTGCTGTTAATGCATCTGCCGTTAACATTCTGGTTTGTAATACTATTTTTGCACTGTTGATTTGTATTGCGGAAGAAGTTACGTTTTACGTTATCAATGTTTAATGTTATTTATATCAAATTTGTAATCATGTTATTTCAATAAATAGGATATATGGAATTTTCTTTACTTTCATCACTGTGAGAATTTGCATTGTCAAAACTAATCTTCACAGTTCTTGGCGAACTTTTGGAGTATGGTAGCGATGTAACAACAAAACTTTTAAAGAGGTCACTGCTTTACATAATTGAATACATGCAAAACTAACCCTAGTCTAATGCATACCTCCATCACTATTTTCTGTCAAGGCTAGCCTAAAGAGGGCGTCTAAGTCGGAAGAACATTCATCATTAATTTCCTTATCAGCAATGGATGCTAAAAATTGGCTAACACCATCCCTTTTTAGCCATTTTTTAACTAAAGGATCCTTGTTGTAGGGATGAGCCAGTGCTTGGGTGATACACCAGCCCAGGTAATTTTCATCAGTGATCTGAGGATGTAAACAATTTAGTCAATAAGTTCATAAAAAATAAAATAAAAAACACGCTTTAATAGCAAAACAAACTAAAAAGTAGAAAATATTTTTGTATTGGAGAGTTTGTGTTAATGCAATAAAAAGTCCCAGCATAACATAACCCTTTTTTGATCACTACAGTTGGTTCAGCTTGCCTGCTTGACTTTCTTTTTAATGATGAGTAACATCTGAGATATTCCTTTATTAGCATTTTTTACTTTTCGTGACTATTGCCTTATTATTGTTCACATTTTATTATTAGTCCTCAAATCTGTGTAATTAACAATGGATTATCCCATAAACATTAGGCGGCAACAATGCTAAGAGTGGAAATGTCAATGTTGAAATTATCACGACATGATACGGATCACAGTGCAAGTATAGATAAGCAAAATAAAATTGCAATACAAACCTCTGAAAGACTGTCAAGTAGTTTCTGTCTATCAGTATCATCCAAGCATTTATACAACATAAACACAAGATCAATGACATGTTTACTTTTCAATTCCTCTAACTGCAACCACTTATGCAAATAATTATCGTACACATCAGCCAGCCTTGCCTCAGGATTTTTCTTTTTCATTTTCTCATGCAGGCAATTGAAGAATTTGTTCGTGTCAAAGTCGATCAACAATGAACATACATGCTCCAACAACTCTTTTGAATTATGTTCTTCAATGTACAGAACATAATTTTCACACACATTATACACCAAGGTGTTTAATTCTTTCAGGTACTGTTCTTCTGATTCAATAACTGATGCTTGATGAGACGCCTCTTCAGCTTTTTTACTTTCATCTTGGGCAAACTTCACTTTCCAAGCTTTTTTTACTTTGCTATAATGTTTTAGAGACTGCAAGAACTCTATTTGTTTTGTAGAGATCTGTTCTAAATTATGATTTTTGATCTCTTTCAAGTTAAATAAGGTTTCTTTGAACAAATCCAGAATATTTTCAAAAAAGAACTTCAGATATGAATTGAATGATTCTGATTTTGTGTTTCTGCCCAACCACTGTACCAATGTTGCAGCTTGATTAAAAACGATCTTGTATCCAGGCTGGTCTTCTATGAGACACCATTCAATAGTGGAAACCAAGTGGTTTTTGATAAGACACTTGCAGAGATTTGAGTCATGTTCTTTCTTTAATATCACGTACTGCAAGCACTCAACAAACGATGATGCAACAGCTACATATTCAGATCTGCTTGATGCAGAAGATCTCTGCTTTAAACTAAAAAATGTTTTTTGTTTATAATCAATTATCATTTCCTCATTTGAAGCATTAACATATTCGACTAGAAAATACCCAGCCATATCTGCGCGAAAATAAATATACGTACTGTGACCCTGCCAACCCCTTATGTAAACTTTTGTAAAAAAATATGTCTGTTTTTATGTCTAAAGGAATTACTAATATCCTACTTGGCAACATTGAAGATTGTCTATGAACCATTGTTTGAAATTTGTAAACAATGTGGATGTTTCAAAAGTTTTATTTCAGACTTTCATTGTCCATACAATTTTTGAAATCATCAGGGGAACTGGTGATTATTGAACATCACACATCAATCGAAACGTCATGATCTCAACAACTGGCGTAAAGGTCATACTTGATTAAACACAATTTAAATCTTCAGAGAAAATACTGTTACATACATGTTGAACAGAGAAATTAAACATCAGTCAAACAGGCCCATACAATTAGTTCACAGAAATTATATTCCTGCCCTAAGGGTTACCGACCATGTAGCAACATTGTCCCTTCCCTCATCCGCGGGGCATCTCTGCAGCAAGTTATCTTTAGCTTCGTCAAGCTCTGTATCTTTTTTGGGCTTTAGTATGGATACATAATATGTAGGCTTATATATAATATAAGCTGGACTGGTTCGCCAGGCGGTTCGCTTTGATAGGGGCGACTACGCGGATCGAAAACATTTATCTATCATCCTAAGATTTTAAAGGCAAGTGTATGGGTAAATCTATGATATGTGAAATATGCCTAATAGGTGTATAGAATAACCGGTTGGGGGTGCATAAATATACTAAGCTATTAAATAATTCATATATCCTCCCACACCCCTACAACCACCAACCCGCAAATTAGAACCCTCACAGAAATTCTAAAAATTCTCAGGTCCGTCTAGAACGTCAAAAAACATTTTCATTCTTGTGTGACAATTTCATCAAAATCTGAGCAATACTTCTCAAATTATAGGCTGTCACAAAATTAGTGGACAGGCTGGCAAACAGACAGTGGTAATGAATGACATTGTTTTTTATGATGCACGTGTCATATAACATCCAAAAAACATAATTCATTTAGAAATTTTTCAAGATTACAATAATTCCTCGACAGTTTTGGCTTAGGAAATAAAATTGTACAGACAATGGAAGTCTAACATAAGACCTCTGAAATTGTCAATGAACATACAAATTCAGCATCTTGGATATCTGCTTGAAGAATATGTTGATTAATTGATAATGATGCATACCCAATCCTGAAATTATCAAAAAGAGTATTATAGAATTGCAAGGCATTTTCATCTACTGTTGGCGGCAAATGTGAGATCAGTGGTAGCATATTTAAATAAAAAGTGGATGAATTTCCTTCTATGCCTTGTTTCAGTATTTTCCACAACTTAGAAAACAACACTTTTTCCACATTTATATGAGTCCACCACTCCTGTAATCAAGCATTTATCAAATATCAAAAACAAATTCCTTAGCAGCAATTTATTTTTTCTGATCTACCTGGATGGTTGACATTGTTAATAGAATGGTCTCTAAGACATGTGGCAATACAGATGGTTCATTTTCTTCTATACTTCCAAATACTGTGCTGGTCACTTGGGACGCCTTTCCTTCTAATAAAGATGGTGCTTTTTGAAGAATCATGGCTAAAACTTTAAACCAGGAAGCCCTTATGTTTGCCACTTTATGCTTGGAAAACTTCCAAAATTTTGCTGAAATAAAAATTCTTCAAACATGTAAAAAAGGTTTCCAGGTTGGATACTTTAGTATCTATAACTCATTCCAAATTTAAAACAATGCGGACAAAAAGTCTTGGCCTAGCGAGCCAGTGAATGAAAAAAAAATTATAAATGGTAATGTTTGTTAAAATACCAGTCTCTTATCATATTAACTGTTGATGAAAGATAATCTTTACCATTGGATATGATGTTGCTGTTTAGCTCAGCAGTATTTTTAATGCTGTCAACAGGTACTTTTTCCAAAAACAAACGGTATCCCTGTAAACATGATATTAAAACTCTTTCATATTTAGCATCCATTTCCTCAGGAGTACAATGTTTTGGATTGCTAAGTGTCTGTGGTGTCTGAACAAGCAGATTATCACTTATGTAGGATAAGATATCTTCTTGGCAAAACACTACTGCTTCTTGGAACTTGGAATCAGAAAAGGTATCCTAAAAAAAATTGTGTTGGCAAATATCAGGGACCATTCTCTCTGAAGCAAATGGCAAGCCAGTCACAATCCAACTCATCATGTGTATTCAAATATAAATATTCACATCAAAAAGGCAGAAATATGATCAGCTGTTTGGCAGCAACTAGTACTACATCCCTGAGTAATACATTATTCATAAGATTTTTCTTCCAATTATTACTTTAAAGAACTAAAACATTCAATTTATATTTTAACTTCCTATTCTCATCCTCAACATGAGAATGTCAGTTGATTGGTAATTGCTTCAGTGGGATTGCAAAACAACACAACTGAAAGTGAAAACTGAGTTGTAAAAATGAAGGCTTGGTGCAAACCAGCATATCCTAAAATCCTTTCAAATAATTTTTTCATTAGAATACTCACTTTAAAAGCCTGTTTTGCAATACTAGCTGCAGGTGGATAAGTGTCATATTGTGAAGTAAACCAAGGTGCCATAAGTTGCTTCAAATGTGGAGCAATATTTCTCTTTGCCTTCAAAACCAGCTGATGTAGAACATTGTGTGATGCTTCCCTTACTCTGTTATCACTATCTGTAGCAAGGATGTTGTAGAATTTTGGCCATACAGGTAGTATTGTTTGCAACGTTTCAGGTTCTGCGTTCTTAATTAGCTCTGCTAATTCTTGTAAGCCCTAGTTTTGTATAATTAATGTATTTGTTGTGTATGTAACAATCAAGTGTATTTCATGCAAAGTAGTCCTTATATGCAAGAACTTATTATACCACATATGTTGAGATACAACTAATACTTAAGGCAATCAAAGTAGTATTATCAAGCATTAGGAGAACATTGAAACAAACCCCTCAAATCTTGAAACCTTAAATAATACAATTACCTTTATCTTTGTGGTAGGATTATTCTTTGCAATTTTTTTCAACATTACTTGTATTGTAGGATCAATCGAGGAATCTAGTTCTTCAGGACAACATTGTAAAGGAAAGCAAAATCTGCTTTCTTTCATTCCCGAGAATCCCACAAACTGAGGTATAGATGAACCAAGTAATTCAGCACTTCTACCACTGCTGGAAGGCTGCAAGCAGATGTTACAGTTTCAAATTGGTTTGTACTATTTAAAAACTCACCCTAGCATTATTTTTTGTCCTGTTGGCAACTTTATGTTTTCCACCCATTATTTATTATCAGTAGATACTACGTAGTGTATAGTTAATATTTTTCTAATATTGTGTAAGTTTAAATTGAAATTTTTACTGTTGTTTTTCTCTAGAAATGACGTATTGGTGTATAACCTCACTTAGAAGAACATGTCATGAATCACGGTTGTCACAGAACAGTTCCAAGAATAGAACGTAACTTTGCTTTGTGAAACAATTTGCCATCTTGTAAGTTGTTCTACAGGGGGTAAGCAATTTACTCCCATAGCAAAGACAAGACATTTCATATGTTATTGTTTTTGCGTGTACCTCCTTCTTGCGATTTTATATTTTAGCATCATAATTTACAGGGTGCTCGAAAAATAGACGAAGACATTTTAGAGGGTGACTCCTTGTTAAAAAATATGAAAAAAAACTTTCTATAAACATGGGGGAGATGCAGAGTTTTCAAGGTATTATATATATATATATAGTTAATTTTTTTTAATAAAATCTTGAAAATATGCTTACTCGATTCTGTTGAAATTTGGCAATATTATTTGTTGTATTAAGAGGCTATTTTTTTAATTTTGGTTTTCAAGGCACTTTTTCACTCGAAAAGGAACTGAGATACGAAAAAAATAGTGGCAAGGAAGTTGTATTTTCAGATGCTTAATCAAACAACAAATATCAAAGTTACAAAAAAGGCAATATCGTACATTTTTTGCCAATAATAATCGCTAAGATGTCCCCCGGAAGGCCACAGGCCCTAATAACTTCAATCTACTTAGGTCTAAATTAGCCTCTTGATACAACAAATAATATTTACAAATTTCAACAGAATTGGGTAAATATTTTTTTAAATAATAATAAAAAAATGTATCATCCTGTATCTTGAAAACAAGATATCACCCTCTAAAATATATGTCTATTTTTCGAACACTCTGTATAGGCAGCAGCGGTGCCGTAGTAGTAGACGTTATGGGTCTACTAATCAGTCACCGGGCGCTGCGCGGGTTCCAATTCTGCCCAAAGAGATTTTTTCTCTTGGCTATGGACATTGTAATTGTCCGATCTCTAAGGCCCTCGCTCCATGTGACGTCTTCCCTTTTCCCCTGTATGCCCCTACAGCCCCACGGTACCCATAAGTATCTAGGCCTTCGGGGTGATTGAAGTTTGAAGTAAAAAAAATATATACAGGATCCTGATAATATTTAAAATATAAACATAGTTATACTATGCTGATCAAAATTGATGGCAGTGACTTGACAGTGGCTCACCACTGTTATCTTATGGTCGCTGCGGTGGGGGGCAATTTTCCGTGGGTGTGCGAACCAGCTTTTATATAAGGTTTCAACAGACAACTATTTTATTCATATTAATGTATTTAACTAGATATTTGATGTCAGAGTACTATACGATGGAACCAATGTTACTATGAAGAAAATATGGTAAAGTTGGGTAATTTGTACCACTTGGCGTATTTTATAAAATAATAAAGGTAAGATAATTTTTCATGTTTCCATCAACCTGTACACCAAAAGACTTATATAAATTCTGAGAGCTTAGAATGATAAGCTTTTGCAGACGGTACACTTTATCGAATAGGTTCGTTAAATTGCACCACGCGGTGTCTATTGTACCGTATCAAAAGGCGCTGGATTTACATTGTTAATGAAACAGAGTTCACAAGTAAGGAACTTGGTGCGTGCCTATCCTCTATGCATGTTTTACCCATTTTATTTTGTTAACGGCTTTTCAAAATAAATCAGTTGTACAATAGACACACAACATTCCGCAGATATTATGGGCTCCCAATGCATATTGAAGTAGTTAAATGGATACATAGTGAAAGGGCTGCTCTTTAAATAACGAACATGCTCTCGGCGACGCTGCATGTGAGATTTGGAATAAATCCTAGCGAATGGATGGCAGGTGTGTAGCACTACAAACTTCACAGCTCTCCTCCTTAGATCCGGTAGGAATCCTTGATGTACAAAGCCACAGGTCAACCAGTGATTTCTTAAAGAGTAATGGATCCATCGCCACTTGCTTATTTTTAAAATAGTTGCCGCTTCTTAAAAAAGTCGTGGATACGGAATGATATTTGGAAAAATAGAAGATAGAGGATACTTTTCCAAAATATAGGTTCTGAGTGATTTTTCAGACAAAACGTGGATATGGGAAAAATTGGTGCACATAAGTTTTTTTAAAATATCACTAGGCTAGTCCAGACCTGGTGGTGAACCAATATCAGTCCACTCTGTGAATCCAATATCTTCTCTGTCGAAATGTTTTGTGCTAAGACAAGAGTCATTTAGACATACGAAAAATGTCACAAATGCCAATATGAACTTAACCTCAGATTATTAAAATTTGAATTTTAAAATTTTTATCCTAATTTAAGAAAAACAATGGATGATTGTCTGTACACGAATTATTTTAAAAAAGTATATAATTTAAAATCAAACTCCGATCATGTTTCGCCTCCAGAGGCATTTCAGTCCCCCAAATGGCTGATTCCAGACTTCCAGAGTAAAAAACAAGAACTGAACAAAATTAAGGGATTGTTGAGCAAGTATAAAATAAAGGTTTGGTCAAAACATACAGCCAATAGAGATCCGGCTGGTTTTGTAATGAAAAAACTACATGAAACTATTCAGCCAGAATTATTAACCCAGGTTAGAACTTGAAAATCTCCAGGAGCATTTGATCCTAATTATATACCTATAATGATTTTAGGCATGGTGTAAATTTTTTGAAATGCTTGGCCACTTTCCTATTGTTCCTGAAGCAGTCCTAAAAGAAAAGCATTTGAATAGTGTTCATTTATGTGAAGCTCCAGGGGCCTTCGTCTGTTCTCTAAACCATTATTTGGTATCAAAGCATGATGACATTCAGGTAAGATGATATGATAAGATTAACTTCAACTAGAAATTAAAAAACAATAATAATTATCTACTCGTATGCCTTCCCATCTGGAAAAGTTACAATCTTAAAAAAATCATTTGTCCTGTAGTGGAACTGGATGGCAACCACTTTAAACCCTCACCATGAAGGGAATGAACTGAATCAAATGATTCCTGATGACAGGTTTCTAAAGTATACCCTAGATAATTGGAGTTTTGGGGAAGATTTTCGTGGTGATATATGCAGTAAATCGAGTCATGCATATTTGATAAATCATCCATTTTGCAAACAAAAGGTATGTAGTACGTACACAACTGTAAGTTTAGTAAGTTGGTGAGGTAATGTAGAAGCAAAAATGAAAATAAATTGCTTACATCTATTCTAGGTCATGTTAGTAACTGGTGACGGTAGCATAGATTGTATGAATGATCCAGGAGAGCAGGAAAGACATGTTGAATACCTTCATCTTTGTGAAGCTGTAACAGCTGTACATATTCTTAAAACAGGTGAGATTCAGACTTTCTTTATTTCAGAAGACAACAATTTTTACTGATGAGGTAGTATTTTAATCATGAAAGATTTCAAAAATGATATTGTGTTTTTTTGGATATGTACATCTCGAAAAACATGTCACTCATTTCCGTCCAATATTGTCTGTCTGCAAATCCTTGACCCCTCTATAACTTGGAGAGTACTACTGTTTACATTTGGATGAATTTTTTTCACAAGCTTACTACTTTGGCAAGGGCTAAAAAGCTTTGTGGATGGTCGGTTCAGTAGCAGCGGGGCTAGGGGCAAAAACACTAAAAAAAAATAAAAATCACTCAAACTTCATCTTTTGAAGTTTAAAATGCTGCTGATTATTTTCAAAAAAATTGCAAAGGTTAAAAAGTTGATGTTGGGGGGTTGAAGAGAGTATATGTCAATTTTTTGTGCTAGCAATTTATATGTTTCCAACTCGGGTAATAATAATTACACATGTCCGAAAGCCAATGTTTTTCAAAGAGGGACTAACTTGTGCTGAATATAATCCCTTATGAATTCATGACAGCATTGCGGGGGAAGTGCAGGCAACTCTTCAGCATGGTACAACAAACGAAAGCGTAGCAACTATCCTCTATCCACCATATAAGGTCATGACTCATTTCAATAGGGATTAGCTTGTGCTGACCATAATCCTTCATGAAATGATACCAGCGTTGCGTGGGAAGTACAAAGTCTACCTACTTGACGCCATTGTTTATAGTATTTTCAGATAAAATAGTTTTGCATTTAGTTTCTTAATACTATTCATACTAATATGAACATTTTTCTAGGTGGTTCATTTGTGTTAAAAATCTTCACCATGTTTGAAGATTCAACAATATGTCTTCTGTATCTGCTGACTTGCCTTTTTGAAAAAGTGACAGTGTTCAAACCGTGCACATCAAAAAGTGGGAATTCTGAAGTGTATGTTATCAACTTAGGTTTTAAGGGAATTGATTGTTCATCTAGGTTAATACAAGATCTATTACAATGTTTTACAAACAAAAAAATATATGAAACAAAATCAATGTTCAGTTTGGACCAACTGCCTCTAGAGTTCCTGACTGATATAAGAAAATGTTCAGAGTTTTTTATGAAAAAACAAATATCCACTATTTTAGATAATATTTATCATTTTGAAAATAGAACTAGTGATAATATTTATATGCTGAAGTTGCAAATAGCAGATTTATATTTCAAACTGTACGATCCGAAATGGATTCCAGTATATAAAAGACTTGTTCCATCTACCAATGTTGGAGATTGTTGGAGAATTTACAATACTTTCCGTCTAAAATTTCTGAATGAAGTACCAGTTGATACAAGAAATGTAATTGATTCAATGCTGGAAATCAAAACTGGGCAAAGCATTGAAGTAGTTAGAAGTTCAAAGTTCACTCACAAGGGTAATTTAGGAAGAATGGACATCTTTCAAGCAGAGGGAACGTCAAATAAGCTGTATCAGCACATCATAGATAAGATTGAAGATAAAAATGTAGTTATAAATGTCAGAATGTTTAACATACGTATTTTTCATGCATTTCAAAAAGACGTGTTTTTTAAAATATATAGTTGTTTGCACAGTCAGAAAAATGTCATTTTTGTGAATATTCCGTTCGTGACACATTTTTTGGTAGGCTTGCTGTATCTTTTATTGTATGCATTTGAGGCTGTGCTTATTGGGAACGGTATGATAGTATGTTGTAAATGGAGAATGGGGAGTGACATAATTCAGTTATTTGAAACAATAAAAGAGAAATACGCAGCTTTAAAAGTAAGTCGTCCTGGTGGAGTTAATGATATTCTCCAACTTGTTCATCCAAAATACTTTGACGAAAACGTCAGATTCATGACATTACTTTGGAATTACAACAATCAGCTGTTTTATCAAAAAGCGTCTATCCGAGTGTTAACATTTTTTGACTTGTATAATAAATATACCTGACGATGAACTTATGTTTGGAACTTTGTTAGGGTTAAAGTATAATACTAACATAAATGTGAATACTGTTCATCATTAAGTGACAAAATGCTTTGGCGTCAACTAAAAAGACAACTTATAATCCATGTTCCAGGTTAGATAGTAGGCAATAACTAACAACATACAACTGTTAAGTGACTGATATTGTAATGACGAGAATGTATTTTCTTCTCATACAACGAAATACGATATGTAAGAAAAAAGTTTAATTAAACAGTAGTCATTTAATATATTTGGCGGAGATATAATGGATCAGACCTCGAAAATTGGAACAGGTTGGAAATCTTTGTATGGTGGTGCTAGTACTGTACGTCCTGATTCCAATATTTTTTGGCGTATAAAAATCAGTTTGTTATTTCAGTAATCAAAAATAATCCGTATTTCCGTATATAGATTTAGATATGCTAAACAAACTCATTGTATCTCACAATGATTTTCGATTTTTAATTAAACTAGTTGTTTTGTATCTGGATGTTTAATAAATTTTATGAATCCTAAAAAGACTTTCTCAATGTTAGCTAGATTATTCTGAATGACCCTTTTCAGAAAATCCGTCCCAAATCATATCGAGTATCACCTCATCTCTAATTACGTATCGACCTTACACCCATCTCTAGTGGCTCCCTCACTTAGGTTTTGTGGTTTTAGCGACCTCTGCCTCGAAAATCTGGAACGTTAATGACAAGTGTGTTGATGTTTGACTGTGTGGGTTCCAGATTTATTTCTTTAATCAAATAAATTTAATTTATTGTTTATTAGTGCGATTGAAATTGTGTTGCGTGAACATTAAACTGCTAGTTTTTCAAATTAATAGTGTACTGCATCTGTTGACAGCTTCGTGAATTTGTAAATGCGTGGTACTATAAGGCTAAGCGAGACTACCTTATGCAATATTTGGTAAGTATATTCGCATTTCCAAGGTTGTTCTAGGTCTTAGATTGCATATATGTTTGTTTTTTATTCATATTCTATATAATCGTCTCATACAATGCCCTAAATGCTACATCTTTGTTGGTCGTTTTGTAGAAATGTCATTCACTGTAGTCAAGGTTTTTTATATCTCCTAGAGTTTCTTTTCAAGATCTATTGCCACAACTTAACATCGTAAATCTTAACACGTGCGAGTTGATATATTTTTTGAATATCGTGTATTCACAATCGGAAAATGGGGACAGGACAAGGGTTTTACATTCCCACTACTCCAGCATTCAGTTTATAAGATGGACATGGTTGTTTACAAGGACGTTACTACAATATGAAAAAAACATCATCTTGTTTATGGGGAATAATCAGAAAAGTTTTATTAAATCTGTATTTCATAGATATATTTTTAGTTCTTTATATCTCAGTTTGGTACCCATTTTATAATTACATTATATTATTTACGGCTCAAAGTTAAGGAACTCGTACATTTGTAAACCTTAGTAGTATCGGTTTGATCATGTGTTTGATTGTACCCAATTCTCTTATATGTAAGATTGCTCACTGGCTCTGTAGGTATCAGCTATGCTAAACTGTTAGGCTACATTCAAGATACGTAATGGCAGCTGCATGTAGGTCTTTTCATGGTCTTAGGCAGGGCACTGTAAAATTACAGGAACAGCTTTCATATATTCAAATTCAAAATACATTTATTATATATCCATCTCCCTCATAACTGCATATGTAATTGGCCTTTATATGTGCACATTTGTTTGTGCAAGGTCATAGACAAACATTTTTTAGTTCTGTCTCACGCTTTGAAAATTTCCTGGTCAAAGTATGAGTCTTCCCCATTCATGCTTGTCACTGTATGACAACTTGCTTGTCATGGGCATAGAATTTGACTTCACCTTTTGTTGATCTTCGATACAAAACATCAATGTCTGAAGATAAAACTGTGATGTTGACTGTCTGTGCTAAAGTTGGAGTATTTTCAGAGACTGAACAAAGCCAACAGTCCTCCGTAGGTAAGTTCGGCATATGGCACTGTTAGTCAATCTAATCTGCTCACTGATTTTGTGTGACATTGTAACCATCCAAAACTGTGAAAAAACAATAGCTAGATTTATTAATGCACTTGGCAAAAAAGTTATGAAGTTCAGGTCTACATGTAATGAAGCAATTCATATAGATGAAGCCAGTTGATAGGGACAAAAACTTAACTCAGATAGTCATTGAAGAGCATAAAAAAATAACCATACTTTGTAATACTTTTATGCTGCTTATTGAGCATCCTGAGGCTGAGGGATCTACTCATATTGTGGAGAATATTTAATTACACAAATTGGTCAATTTGAAGTCCCCCTTTGCTAGACGACCAAGCCTTTCATTTTCCTGAACATGAATCCTGTGACTCCATTGCACTCCCTTAGCTGGATTCCTAAATCCACACCTCATGTCATATGACAATGTAGTCTGGAATATGGTGTTCAAATAATGATTATACAGTGTATCAACAAAAATCAAGATAAATGTATATCTGATGACTATGTTTAACTAGTATCTAAATAAGAATAACATGTTTTATAATGGCTATCCAGCATAACTTTGTATTGTAAACAATTAAATTTCAAGGAGATCTACATTATTTGAATTTTATGAGTAAAATGAATGTGGTCTGTTGAAAACTTGCAATCTGAAACTTCTGAAATTCTATATGAGACATACAGAACAGTATTATTATTATAATACTTGAATGATGTTTTGTTTATTTTCATTACACATTTCTGGATATTGTACATGGTATTGATTGATTGATAGTACAAATTCAACAATGTCACCATACTGTTTACAGTATACTATTCTAGAAAATATTCAGCTTAGCTAAAGTTTATAGTACTATCTAACCTAGCCACTAGAGTAGTTCTCAAAAGTTAAACATTTCAAATAAAAAAAAGCTCATATCAAGTTTAAAAAATACATTTCTTGAAATCACTCTGGAGGTATTTTCCTCATAATGATAAAATACTTTTTTTATGAAATAGTTCTTCATCTTTTCCTGGATCCTGTCAATGTCCAGTGATTTTATTGTATTTGGTAATTTATGATAGATTTATTCACTCTAAAGAGCTGTGGTAGAAAATTAGCAGCATCCCTTGTAGGTATGTACTTCTGGATGCCTGAGTTGCTTTCCAGTAACTCAATTAGTGCTCAGCACCAATATTGTTCAACTGCATTTCATATTCCCATATATAAACTTTGTAGAGCATTTCGAGCATTTGACATAACACAAGCGATCTAAAATAAAATCTGATGGAAGTGTCAAAATTTTTAGTTCTGCAAAAGCACAAAAGTCAGCTTTTATAGGTACCAGAGGGAAATGTTTGGTCTGGGGAGTGACATTCAAACTATGAAAAAGATACTTTAAACATAATATAAACGGCCTTAGCTAAATAAGTTCAATAGTTCCTTGTAATGAATAACAAGTCTTCAGATCCATTGGTCTGGGAAGAAGAGAGTACAGATTGAGAACTTACTGTCCTCAGGGCATCAGTTGTGTTAGGAAGCCAGAATTCTTTTTAAAGCGGTGCGCAGCCGTTGCTTTCATTGCTTATAGTATTTTTTATTGTAGGGCCGTACCGTCGGTCGTTGCTACAATTGTAGGACACCTTTATGGCCTCCTTGATTTTCATAGTTTTCTACTGTTCAGATAGCTGTTTATAAAGGCATATTTTGGTAAAAATCTTGAAGTGGGCCAACTGAAGTGGGAAGGGGCTCGTAGTTGCTGTTATGTACCATTGGAATTCATGAGGATATACTTACCAGGGCAAATACTAGAACCACTGGCAAAAGGGTATCTGCCGACACTATATGAGCAACTGTCTCGTCCTTGATTTCACAAGTCCAAATTGCGATCTACGCAAATATGCAATTTGAATTGCGCCAGGCGCCTTTTTTATGAAAATATGTTAAAGTATCTAATAATACAAAGAGTATTCCAAAATCAGACCAATTTATATTTATAGTGAAATACGGGAATGGAGCACGACACATTTTGTTGATTTTCAAGTTGTGCCTAAATCTTAGTGGCTACCTCAACTTTATTATACTAAGGGGTACCAAAAAAAAACGGAATTATTTTTTAAAAGCTATTTATTTTCAACGTTTTCACAAAGTAACCTTATCTCATTCAAAATACTGTCCACTACAACTAATACACTTGTCCCACCGGTGCTTCCACTGCTCGAAACATTTTTTGAAGTCTTAGAAATGTCTGATAGCTCCTCCCTCGTTTTTTTTCTTGACCTCTTCAATGTCGTCAAAGCGGCGTCCTTCCATGCCCCTTTTTATCCGTGGAAATAAGAAAAAGTCGCACGGAGCCAGGTCAGACGAATAAGGTGCGTGAGGCAGCGGAACCATGCCATTTTTATCCAGAAACTGTCGCACAGAGATGGCTGTGTGCGCAGGTGTATTATCGTGCTGGAAGAACGAGTCTCCTGACTGCCACAAATCGGGTCTTTTTTGCCGAAAATTGTTTCGTAATCGTCTTACAACCTCCATAAGCTCTCGAATTTTTTCAACATTTTCGTCGATTCGGACAGCTGATGGACGTCCAGAGCGAGGTTTGTTATCAATCGACATGTCGCCATTTTTAAATCGAGCAAACCACTCTTACACCTGAGTTTTTCCCATCGCATCATCTTTGTAAACTATTTTCAACATTAAAACAGTTTCAGCAGCATTTTTACCAATTAGAAAGCAAAATTTCACAGCTGCACGTTGCTCACTGAAGCTTGCCATCGTAAAAAACGAAACAGCTCTAGCAAAAATAAGGACTAGCGAGGAATGAAACAAGCCAGATCGACAACTCAGGTGGCACTGAACTGGGGCAGAAATGTGTACTACACAAGCTCTACCCACTGCAATGCTATTCCGGTTATTTTTGGGTACCTCCTCGTATGTCCCAAATACAGCATGATATTTTACACTTGATGGTTGTGCAATGTGTCGGTTTGTTCAAGATAGATTTTTTTTACGGATCATCGAAATCCCAAATACCGTTATGTTCACTCTATATATATATATATGTATATATTGTGCCGAACGGGTTCCAAAACACGTCTCCAGAGTAGAAAAAAGATTAATAATAATAATAATTGAAAAGATTTATTGAGAATGAGATCATCTAAGAATCACCCTTTGGAATCTTTTTGACGAGCTAAGAGGGGCCTGTTAGGGTCTTTGATTTTATGTTCTTTGGTGTATTTTCAGTCACTGACACAAAGTAAGCTACTCCCAGCACTTGTTCTAGTGGTACCGTACTATATTTTTTTGTGAAACGTCTAATGACCCGCGCTTGATGCGGAATCAAAGCAGCAAAATATAGGTTGTTCCGCGGTGAATGTAAATACTTTGCTTGCAGTTAAAGGTTTCTTCACGGTACGAAACTGGGTACGACCGTTCGTACGACTTAGAAAGTACTCTCCGCACCAAGCGATATGCGACCAGTTTTCGATACAGCGTAAAAATGTGATGTTGCGAAAGAAAAGGAGATCACCGAGCTTTTCTTTTCTCTTCACGATCGTGTGAAATATTCAGGTAGTATAAGAGAATGGAATCAAAGTATTAATATTGTAGCTTAGACCTTGGAACGCAGATATGGCAGTATTGGAGCAACTAAATTTGACGAAACGGGCTATTATTAAAAATGTCACAGCCCACAAAATAAAAAAAATGGGGAGTCGCTGGACAAATAAGAATTTAAGTCATTTTGGTGGATGTCCATCTCTTCAGAGCTCTTTGAGAAATCAACATTCACAAAAAATACCAAAATTTTTAATTTGACGTTTAAATCACATTCATGTTGGTCCATGTTATAATTATTATTGAATGTTACCACCTCTTATGTGCTCACACAGAAAGGAATTTTAATTTTATTAATCAAAAACATTTCAGTTACATTATGGATAAAAACTAACAATCATATATATATATATATATATATATATATGTGTATCACTTTCCTACATTCGTACACTCATATGAACTACACACTTTTCCAGAACAAATTAATTCAGCATTTTGGTAATTTGGGTGGAGGTTCACCGAGCGTCCTTCGTATACTTCATCATACCCAAATTGGACAATGAGGTTTACAGTTCGACGTTCCGTCGCGTCAATCACATGTCATCTGTCGACGCATTATCTTTCCGTTCCGTCCCCCTCTCCACGTGTAGTGGAAGTAGGAGGTTAGAAACTGCATTCCGATTGTTTCCCCAACATTTCTTCTCATAATTAATAATTTTTAATATGTTCGGGTGTATTGATAGTTTTAACACATAACCATGGTATCTGTCGTTATCAATAAGCCCAATGTATTCGTCCGATTGTTTTTATATTTGTAACGAGTGCTCTCATCTCTACGTTTTGAAACACCATTTGGCTGCAACCTCAACGACGAGTAAGTTGTTTGACAATTTAAGTCGTTCCTGTATTCGTTGCTAGCATCGCAATTGTGTTTTTGAGATCCTGATGAAGGATTCATAGAGAATGCCGAAAGCTTCATTTTATCGTCAAAAGAGTTCACCAAAACCTAAAAGTTTGCCAATTTCCCAATTAACAATTAATTGTATTTTTTGCCCAATTGGTCGTTGGCAATTGCAATGACTACTGCTCGTATATATATATATATACACGAGTATATATATATAGGGTGGCCCATCCATGTGTGGACAGAATATTACTCATAAACAAATACATTTTGGAAAAATCTGTTTATGGGATGTTATATAAAATATTGGCCATTATCCCAATTTCGACCTACATATCAAAGTTGTTTTTTCAAATGGAGTGCCTCAAATTTTATTGCATATTTGGATGAACCAATTCAAAAGAAGAAAATTGATATAACATACTGTGGGGTTAAGGTAATTAGCTACTGAGATATAAGGTGTTTTGTCTATAAAAACCCCCCACTTTGGCAACCCCTCAGTCCACCATTTTGAAATTTGGAGTGCTGAATTTTGTACCAAAAAAAACCTACACACCTCAGCTTCTATCCTATTCGTTACTTTTTCGAATTTTAATTTTTGCTCATACAGGGTGGTCAAAAACGCAAATTGTAGTTTTTCTCAAACATTTCAAATGCATCACTGTATATATTTGTGCAAGTTTGGATTCAACTTTTTATAAGCTTTTTTTGATACTAGACACATACGGGTTTTTACGGCTATTTTTTCGGTTATTAGCACGTCTTTTATGGAACGGCTTAATTCCCTAAAATTTCGCATCATCCTTGGAAACAAATAAATTGTTGATTACTTACCAACTGTCAAAATTAGCTTTGTGAGTATTATAATCAAAAAGTGTTTGAAAATGAATTTACACCCGTAAAGGTTTCCTCAGGTTACACCAGTATCCGGATGTATGGGCATGTGTACCTAGTTTTGTAGTTACATATGTGCATTCCTTTCGTATCGCTCGGGTTACCTAACCTATTTTCTGCTCGAATACACTTTCCTTCTTTTTCGGATTTTGCCCATTATTTTCTTATTTTTTGTTATATACCTTTCTCCGCATGATCATTTTCTCTTTGTAGATCCTTTGGGCTTGAACACTACACACTACAATGTGTAGGTTGGCTCTTGTTGTAGACTTCGTGTGTGATTTTTTCCCTTTCCATCTTCGTTTCCTCAGGTTACACCCGTATCCGGATGTATGGGCATGTGACTGTTGTAGTTACATATGTGCATTCATTTCTGGCCTGATGAAGCCAACCAGTACAAATACGTATCGCTCGGGTTACCTATCTTATTTTCTGCTCGAATACGCTTTCCTTGTTTTTGCGGATTTTGCCCATTATTTTCCTATTTTTTGTTATATATGTGTGTATATAAGCATTTGTTCTTGTGGTGTTGTGTATTTTTATTGCGGGGCTATGCCTTTTTTTCTTTTGCTCCTAAATTGTATTTTTCCTCGATAAACAATTTTGTTATTATTATAAGGGTAGAGGGATGGCCGCAATCTGAAAAAGGACTGGATGCGATAGAAACGTTTTATGACCTACGACGCTTCAGCAGCCAGATAATTGTTTCGAACAAAATTTGAAATATATGCATATAAAGAGGTAAATCATCCTGTAAATCCATTTGTATGATAATTTGTGCAAGATTATGGTGGATGCTTAAAATATTTTCATCCGATACAAAAAGAATTCGTAAAAAATGAAGAGCCAACCAGACCAAATATATGCAAAATAAAACAGTATAATTATATGTTGAATCAATTTCACCATTTTTCCTAATTCGACAGCCACATTGTTGTTTTTACCAGCAGATAGTGCCCTTTTATGTTGTTGGAAGAATGAACAAATACGTCTTGTATAGTATGATAGTTCTGAAAGATAGGAACAATTCGGAAATCCGCTGAGGGTAAAGAAGCTGTCAGGATCAGAAATTTTACTAGGTATTTCATGGACGGTGGAACCGTTACAACCTTCTCCCAATGTTGATTTCAGATTCGTGTACAGGAAAAAATAGATAGAAAAATATAGTTAGACCAGCACACACCCCTTTTTATTTTTTTGGGCCTGTGGATCCTTATGCGTTTTCTCTATTTGTCCATTTAATCAATTTTGACTTCGTAAGGGAAACATATAGTGGGAACCTAAGACTTTACCGCTTTTTTATTTTGTAGGCTTGTGTTTTTTTTAGCGGAGTATCACTATTTTGCCTCTAAAAAGTGTACTGTGCGTTTTCGCTTTTTCCTGTGAAGGAGAAATGGCATAACGAGCCCGCCAACATTCAAACGTATAAGTTCGTGCCAAAGCTTTGACGTAGTAAGTTCCGCCATCTTTGACATTCAGCGACGAACTTACCAACTAATTTTTTGTTTTCAAAGTTACTCAAGTTGGTATTGGAAAACTGCAAAAGGTTTTTGCAGAAACTGCTGATATTACCTTTCGCTTACGTGATGTTTGTTGCTTTTTTTTAAACAAAATCTGTGCCATTGCAAATGTTTTTAATATTCGCGAAAAATTGAGGTGAAACTGAAAAATATGTTAGAATTACTAATGTTTTCGAAGTCTAAGGGCATTTTTGGGATTACACATTTTAAGCTTTTTTTCTGTTTCAGGTTCATCATGTGTAAAATTAAAGAGGAACACTGTAAGTATGCATGTTATCAATGTGTATGTTATCTTTATAATATAATTTACTGTACATATTCGTTGTGAACACGTTTTGTAAATGTCGATCTTTTGTTGACGTTTACTACTATTTAACCGTTATTTAGGAACATACCTTCTCGAAGTTTCAACAGTTGTAACATTTTTATATAGTTACTACTTTAAACGCTAACGGAGAGTCTCGAGACCCTTGGCTCTTTTCTACTGCTACGCCAACGGGCTTTGTTCCTCAGAGCTCTCGTCCATGATGCCGCCGCGCGTTGTGCGTGCCAGACAGGTCCGCGTAACTTCGGCCTCCCATTCTAACCGCGTCGAACATCGTAAATCCAGAACTGGCCGATACGACAGCTCCTTTGTCCATAGAGTAGCGAGATTGTGGAACAATTTACATGAGGTGGCTTTTTTCAGTTCTACTAACCTTAGACAGTTCAAAAAACGGATTAGCAAAGTTTCTTTAATCTCCTCATAGCAGCCGCGGCGCTCTGGCATTTAGGTTTCTGCCTGCTCAATTGCTTCGGTGTAAAAAAAGTTTAGGTTGAATCATTGAAGGATCGGAGATTCCGAAAGAAACCGATTCAGTTTTTCTCAATGACCTTTCACTTTTAAACTACTAATAGGCAATTAATTCAAAACCGTATTCATTTTTTATCGAGTCCATTCAGATTGTTAATTACAGAAATTTGGGTCTTTGTTAAGGTCAGTCATTCAATATAGGCTAAGGCGACTTTGAAATTTGGTACATGTACTTTCTTGCGGAACAAGATACCGTTTGCGTTTATTCGATTTTGATGGATGTTCCATTTGTTCAACTGATACAAAATATGGTGTAGTTGTATTAGCTAGGAAATTATGAGGATTTTAGAAAATAACCTGATCCTCTGAATGACTAGAAGCGTTGGATCAGTCAGTTCTCTGAAAAGCATCAAATATGGCCGGTGTAGTTGAAGCAGAAGCACCTAAGACGTGTGAAAAGTACTCGTGGCCGAGTTTTATCTCAGCTTTGTGCTGGGCTTAAACAAACCTTCCAGCATCTTCCCAGCAGCTGTCGCGATTTAACTTACAGCGTGCCAAACAAAATGGTTAGTAAAACTGATAATGAAGTTCATGGTATACGGTAAAAAGTTGTGGTTAGAGAAGCATTTTAATCTCAAATGTATACTTTTTGTATCCTTTAGTGGAAAAAATTAGGTTCCACGCAATTGGTTAGTAAATATGTTCATAGAATGGTTAAACTGATAACATAAACCGGAAGTTAGATGGTATCATGATATCTGTTTATAAATATCTATCTGACTACATAATATGCTCAAGTATGATGCTAGCAAAATTGTCGATAACATTAATTTCGGTTTCAAGGGTACATATTTTTTAATGATACGCCAATCAGTTTATTAAATTATGACTCGTCATATTATGACTCTCATGAGGCATCAAATAAAAGATAACTACCGGACTTACGCTTCAGTTTTCTTACAAGGGGTGTTCGCTAATGATTTTAGGAATATTGGTCTTAAAAAAATTTAGTATCTGTCCTTCAACTTGGTAATGGGTGTACGGGGATGTCTTTTAAGTTTTGCATATAGAAACATAGTAGGCCGCGCGGATCGAACGTCAGTACTGAATCTTAACCTCACTCTTTAGTAAACTTAAATTCAAAGTTTCACAACAATACGTGCAGTGTTCTCTCTACAGTGAATTTTTAAGTGTCACCAAGTCATTAGAAAAATGGAACTCAACCGAGAACATTTTCGCGCCCTAATTTATTATAACTTTCAGAAACAATTATCGCAACAAGAATGCCTTGCTGAGTTACTGTCTGTTTTCGGTAACGAAGCGCCACATCAGTCGAGAATTTCCCGTTGGTATGGAGAATTCAAACGTGGACAAGTGAGTCTTAGCGACGATCCCAGGGTGGGTGCCCCAAAAACGGCAGTCACCCAGGAAAACGTCGATGCTGCGCGCAAACTCATCATTGAAGATAGACATGTGACATATCGCGAGATTGAGGCGTCCTTGAAGATCTCAAAGACCTCAATTCAAGAAAATTTACATTAAGAATTAGGTGTAAGAAAATTAGTTTCTCGTTGTATACCCCACCTGTTGACTGAAGAGCAGAAAGCAGCCAGGAAAAGCCAACAAAAGTCATCCGTTCTCGAAGTGTTTCGAAAAAGATGGTCGTGACATTTGTGTCAAAAGCGGGTCATATTGCAACATTTCCTCTTAATGAGCAAATAACTGTTACTGCGGATTGGTATACCACCATTCGTTTGCCAAAAGTCATCACCGAGCTTCGAAAAATCAACCCCGAAAGAAGAATCATCCTCGAAAGAAGAATCATCCTCCACCAAGACAATGCAAGCTCGCACACAGCCCACAAAACAAGGCAGTATTTAACGGAAGAAAACGTGGAATTATTGGACCATCCTCCATATAGTCCCGATCTAAGTCCTAACGATTTCTTTACTTTCCCGAAAATTGAAAACAGACTGCGTGGTCAAAGGTTCCAGTCACCAGAAGAAGCAGTTGACGCATTCAAAAATGCCGTTGTGGATCTGCCAGCAAACGAGTGCAATAAGTGCTTCGAAAATTGGTTCGAGCGCATACAGATGTGTATTAATCTTCGTGGAGAATACTTCGAAAAACAATAAAGTCATTTAAAACTACCTACCGTGTTGTTTTATTTCCATATGCAAAACTTAAAAGACACCCCTCTTATATGGTCATAGATGTAAACTTTCCTATGTTCAACGTATTCTCGTATAGATATCGATACCACAGCAAGAGCGGTCGTACCGACCAGTCGTGAATGTAAGAAGTACATTGTTAATATGGGAAGCCAAATTCTGCCAGGCTGACGAGCAAATCCCGTTGACATAGCGGTAGAAGAGATCCAGATCACCGACCGCACATCGGTGCGAAAGGGTCACGAGACTGTCCATTAGAAAAGTGCCTTCGATCAGTCGGAAAGCCTTCCTCTGAACAGCATCGAGTACGAAGAATGTAGTCACGGCGGCAGCACTCCAAACATCTGAGCAGTACTCGAGACTGGGGCTTACCTAGGCCTTGTACAGAGTCGTTGGTTGGTGTTTCTAGTCTTCATTGTCATCTTTTTGCATATTTACATTCAGCTGAGGTCTCTATCATACATGCCTATGCATTTTGTGAAGGTGTTCTTTCAAGCCATTGCGTACTCATAGAATTCCTGTAACTATACGGAGTTGATTTGCTCTCACTGAAAACTGGAGAATGATTATACTATCTGCTATTGAACTTTTCCAATACAACTAAGACATATCTTTCATTACAATGGATCTTAATATAAAGAAATTCTGGATATTAAAAATGTTCCAATTTTCCAATGGCATCAACTCAATTTATACCTCCTCCTTGGTAACGACAGAATAACAATTTTGGTGAAGGTCAAATTTTGCAGATCCGGAAGATATCAGGTGTAAGGGATTCGTTGGGAAACTCGAACATTGTTCATTGTGATGGAAAACCTCGTGGAAAATTATGAGAAGATCATCGATGACCATTGTGTCGCCATGTTCCTAGTCATTAAAGAAAGGTTGAGCTGTTTAAACTGAATATAGAATAAGCCAAATTCCACAGTCGTTTGAGGGTCACACCAGTCAGGCTATTGTATATTTTTCCTACCAGCGATCCGACAACCTTGCTTTCTAATCACTGTTGCCAGATTTATCCGTTCGTCGTCAATCATCATCATTATCCAGTTTTGATGGATGGCTGAGCTTTGTCGAAAAACTATACGTTCGACTCAGATTACTGAGGTCATTCAGCCAAAATACACCATCGGCCACGCAGTCGCTCAAAATATACACCTTCCGCCACACATTCGGCAACCCATTCTGCCACAAAATACACCTTTGGCCACACATTCGTCCAAAAAATATACCTTCTGACAAAAATTTACACCTTAGGCCACACATTCGGCCAAAATATGCACCCTCGGCCACAGATTCGGCAACACACTCGGCCAAAAGAATACACTTTAGGTTACACCAAACAAAATACACCATTGGACACACATTCGGCAACACGTAAGGCCACAAAGTACACCTTCGGCCACACATTTGGCCCAAAAATACACTTTCGGCCAAAAAAATACATCTAAGGCTATAGATTCGGCTAAAAATACATCTTTGCCACGCAGTCCGTCAAAATATACACCTTCGGCCACAGATACTTTCGGCCACACATTTGGCCCAAAAATGCACCTTCGGCCACACAATTGGCCCAAAAATACACCTTCGACCACATATTGGGCCCAAAAATACACCTTCGGTCACACATTTGGCCCAAAAATACACCTTCGGCCACACGCTTGGCCCAAAAATACACCTTCGGCCACACGTTTGGCCCAAAAATACACCTTCGGCCAAAAAAATACACAGCCTATACATTCGGCCAAAAATACATCTTTGGCCACGCAGTCGGTCAAAATATTCACCTGCGGCCAGACATTTGGCCCAGAAATACACCTTCGGCCACACCTTCGGCCTAAAAATACACCTTAGGCCATACATTCGGCCAAGAATATATCTTTGGCCACACATTCGGCCACAAAATACACCTTAGGCCACACAAGATTAGGCTGAAGGCTGAGGATTTCGAAAAATCAGTGCTAACAAGAAGTTTTGCAGAAGGGCACAAGGGTGCATTTCCGAACCAAATTTAAGTAGAAAGTAAACATGTCTTTACAAACTTTTCTACTTGAATTTGGTTTCAGGCGTGTGGCGTGTGCCCTTATATGTTAATTACGCCCTATTATTAACTAATACGCTGCATATATAATCAGTGCTGTAGGGCATATGTCGTGTTGTTGTGCTGTTTTCTGGTTCTGATCTTTAATTATTGACAGTATTGACACCTGTTTTATAATTAGTTGCCCACCTACCGATTTTATTGTAATATTGTTTTCAAAACTTTCACTTGAAAAGTAGATACCGTACTGTATTATATATATAGTGTAAAAGTATAACTTGAAGTAATCATACTTATTGCTCGTTTATTTTGTTATATCTCCTTTTATATACAATAAGGTCGAATGTCCCTTTTTTTCAACTGCCTGTTTTGAACAGTGCTCTAAATCCTTTTCATCTGATCATGTCATGGTGTGAATAGAGATGACTAAAAAACAATGTTATGCATTTCTTCAATCGTAATTTGTTAACAAATATTAGTACA